AAAATCTACATCACTAGATTCCTCTTTGTATCTTGATTGCAATAGAAAATATATGGCACATTCATGACATAAAAATGCATGGCCATATGTATGCAGGGGAAATCACATATATTATTGTTCAAATTTGCTGTTAACCTACAATTGTTCTTATTCTAGTTTGTTTTCAGGCTCACATTCAGGTACCTTTTTTCTACAGTTCAACCAGGTCTAGCTGCCCTGGGATGGCACTGCCCACAATGGGCTCAGTATTCCTGCATCAATCAGCAATCAAAAAAAAAAAAAAAACGGGACTCGAGAGATGGCTCAACGGTTAAGAGCACTGACTGCTCTTCCAGTGGACCCGGGTTCAATTCCCAGCACCCACATGGCAGCTCACAACTGTCTGAAAATCCAGTTCCGGGGAATCTGACAGCTTCACACCAATGCACACAAGATAAAGTTAAATAAACCATAAAAAAATTTAAAAAAAAAAAACCCACAGACATTCTCACATGTGAACCCCACCCAGACAATTCACCAATTGATGTTTCTTCTTCCCAGGTGTGTCAAGTGGACAACAAAATGAGTCAGGACAGTTGTTTTAAAAAAATAAAATCTTTTAAAATTCATAAAATTTAGACTAGAGATGTAGTTCTGATGTGGGATAATCGTTCTGTACCCTGTGAATATATGCTGCTCTCATTGGTTGATGATAAAAGCTGCTTTGGCTTATAGTAAGGTAGAATATAGCTAGGCAGGAAAGCCAGACTGAATACAGGGAGAAAGAAGAGCAGAGCTGAGGGAGTTGCAAGCCAGCCACCCAAGAAACAAGATGTCAGAGAACCAGTAACCCACAGCCATGTAGCAATACATAGATTAATAGAAATGGGTTGATTTAAATGTAAGAGCTAGTTAGTAATAAGCCTGAACTGTAGACCAAACAGTTTGTAATTAATATTGAGCCTGTGAGTGATTATTTAGAAGCAGCTTCAGGATGTGGAGGGGGCAGAGAAACCTCAGTTTACATAGATCAGATGGTAGAGTGCTTACCTGGCATGCATGATGCCCTAGATTCCATCCCCAGTAAGTACTACATAAGTTAGGCATGATAGTACAGACTTGAAATACCAGCACTTGGGAGGCAAAGGTAGAAAGATCAAAAGTTCAAAAATCATCCTTGGCATGCAGCAAGTTCAAGACCAGCTTGGGCTATGTAGTAAGATCTTGTCTTTTAAAAAGAAAGAAGAGAAAGAGGGTCAGGGAGATGGTTTAGTGGCTAAAATACTTGTCATGCAAACTTGTCATACAAACGGGAGAAGTTGCATTCTTTGAGGGGGAGAAGGGGTTGTTAGTTTGTTAGGTTTTTGTTTTGTTTTGTTTGAGATAGGGTTTCTCTATGTAGCTCTGGCTGTCCTAGAACTCACTATGTAGAACAGAGTGGCCTTGAACTCACAGAGATCAACCTGCCGATGCCTCTGCAGGGCTCCTATGCTGTTCTTATCCCCAAAATCCATGTGAAACAGGACAGAGTAGCACCTGCCTGTAATTCCAGCACTCCAGTAGGGAGATGGGAGACAGAGACTGGAAGCTCTTGTGCCTTCTAGGGAGGCATACACAGCAATAAAAAGTGACACTGTCTCAGACTAGGGGGAAGGTGAGGACCAACACCCAAGGTTGTCCTTTGATCTCTACACATATGCACTGGTACATATATGTCTACACTCAACATATAAGAACATGGACACACACATACATACACACAATAAAAAAGAGAATTAGAACATTATAATAAATTTAAAAATCTTATAGGGCATGTTGTCATGGATTTAATTCCAAGACATGGAACGTAGAGCAGGAGAATCAGCAGTTCAAGAATACCCTGGAGGTTGAGTGGCGGTTGTGGTGCATGCCTTTAATCCCAGGTCTCAGGAAGCAGAGGCAGGCAAATCTCTCTGTTCAAAGCCACCCTGGTCTATATAGCGAGTTTCAGGACAGCCAGGGCTACACACATAAGACTTGCCTCAAAAATCAAACAACTAAACAAAAAGAACAGCCTTGAAGCCAATCTGATGGAACTCATCTTTACTCCTAGCACTTTAGAGGCAGAGACAGCCACATGATTCAAAGCCAGCTTAGTCTACAAAGCAGGTTCCAGGCCAGCCAGGACTACACAGTAAGATCTCAAAAAACAAAATGGAGCTGTGGTGGTGCACGCCTTAAACCCAGCACTTGAGAGGCAGAGGCAGGCGGATCTCTGTGAGTTCAAGGCCAGTCTGGTCTACTGAGCCGGTTCCAGGACAGTCAGGACAGTTACACAGAGAAACCCTGACTCTCTCTCTCTCTCTTTTTTTTTTCGAGACAGGGTTTCTCTGTAGCTTTGAAGCCTATCCTGGAACTAGCTCTTGTAGATTAGGCTGGCCTCGAACTCACAGAGATCCGCCTGCCTCTGCCTCCCCAGTACTGGGATTAAAGGCATGTGCCACCACCAACTGGTTGAAAAACCCTGTCTTGAAAAAACAAAAAACAAAACAAGGGCTGGAAGATGGCTCAGAGGTTAAGAGCACTGACTGCTCTTTCAGAGGTCCTGAGTTCAATTCCCAGTAACCACATGATGGCTCACATCCATCTATAATGAGATCTGGTACCCTCTGGCATGCAGGCATACACGCAGGCAGAACATTATATACATAACAAATAAATAAATCTTAAAAAAAAACTCTTCATGTTTCTATTGACACACACACACACACATATATAAGTATATATATGGCTGGGTGGTGGTGGCGCACACCTTTAATCCCAGCACTTGGGAGGCAGAGGCAGGCAGATCTCTGTGAATTCAAGGCCAGCCTGGTCTACAGAGTGAGTTCCAGGACAGGCTCCAAAGCTACACAAAGAAACCCTGTCTCGAAAATCCCCCCCCAAAAAAGAACATACATGTAAATGTAAATACCTATACATACAGGCAAAGATAGTAGTAATGGCCACACAACACTGTGAATATAACTTATACCATTTAATTGTACATTTTAAATGGTAAAGGGCTGGTAAGGCATATGCATGTCAAAGCCATAAATTCAATCCCTAGTATTCACACACACATGCACGTGCGCGCGCGCGCGCACACACACACACACACACACACACACACACAGAGAGAGAGAGAGAGAGAGAGCCTTAGAGGAAAAAAAAGAGCATATGCCTTTTATTCCAGCACTCAAAAGGCAGATATCTGTAAATTTGAGGCCAACTTGGTCTATATAGAGAGTTCCAGGGTAGCCATGGTTACATAGTGAGACCTTGTGTAAACAAAATAAAACATAGTGAGACAAAAGACCTGGGACTGACTCTCAGGCTTCTGATGCCTACCATTCTTGTGGTGACTCTGTGGAATGGGAAATTGACCCTAGACCTACAAGGAGATTTAAATTTCCTCTGCCTGCTCTAAGCAAGGTACAAACCTTGTTTTCTAAGCACCACTAATCTGGCAGATACTTGGGTGACCTATCAGTTTGAGGATATTAGCAGCTGGCAGCTTCTCCTGAGCCCTACTGAGGAGGACATTGTGCCCAAGGTTTGATGCCAGAAGTACATGAGGCCACCAAACTCAGTGACAAAACACAAACACAACCCCCTAACTACAGAAGGCTGCTAAAACAGATGGCCTTGACCATGGTAAGGATTGTCAGCCAATATGGAAACTACTATATTCTTTATAGATTCTTTTTTGGTTTGTTTTATATTCATTTTGTTATTATTACTATTTTATCTTTTTTCTTTACTCAATATTTTCTTTTAAAAAATGTAATTAGTGTGTGTGTGTGTGTGTGTGTGTGTGTGTGTGTAGGAGGAAGTCAGAGAAGTGTCAGATCCCCTGAAGCTGGAGTTACAGGCAGTTGTGAGCAGCCTGATATGAGTGTTGAGAATCAAACTCTGGTATTCTGTAAGAACAGTTATGTGCTCTTAACCACTGAGCCATCTGTACACCACATGCAAGCCTAATGCCTGAGGAGGTCAGATTAAGTCATCAGATCCCCTGGAACTGAAGTTATAGATGGTTGTGTGGGTACTGTAAAAATGAACCTGAGTCCTCTGAAAAAAACAACAAAATAGTCTTAACCACTGACTCTTTTTTCTTTTTTTTGGAGTGGGGATTCAAGACAGGGCTTCTCTGTATAGACCTGACTGTCCTGGAACTAGCTCTATAAACCACAGAGGTCCAACTGCCTCTGCCTCCCTAGTGTTGGGATTAAAGGCCTGTGCCACCACCACCACCCAACAGTTTTATTTTTTTGTTTTTTGAAGATAGGTTTTCATGCAGTTCAGGCTGACTACAAACTCCTAGCTGATACTGTCTTTGAATTCCTGATCTTCCTGACTCTACTTTCCAAATGCTGGGATTAAAGGTGTCAGCTAGCACACCTGGCTTCATTCCCATCATTTTTTTGAGACAAGGTCTAATGAAGTTCAGGCTGACCTCGAACTTGATAAAAGGCTGAGAATGCCTTAAACTCTTGATCCTCCTGCCTCCACCTCCCAAGTGCTGAGATTACAGTACCCAAGACGAAAACGCTATGTTTAACCAAAACAGCGCTTCTGTAAACTTTTTCTATATTTTGGAGCATTACCTAAGTGGGGTAGAGTTCCTGTAAATCATTGGGTCAAAGGACAGGAATGTTGTTTTACTTTTGTCCAGCTGCTGACCGAGAAGACAGATTAATCCAGATGAAAGGAGCGTCTCAGCTGCCCTGGCACTCTAGGTAGCAGAGACAAAAAGCTCAAGCATAAAGATGGATGGTAACATTCCAGACATCCGCTCACTGAGTGATACATAAAACAGAAAGAACACTCTTGGAAAAAATACACACATATACACAAAGCAGAAAGACAGCAACCAACGGCTCACCCTCTAGGACTCAGGCTTTGTTTTACCTCCATATGTGCTTCTGGACTTCCCATGTTTTTAAAGAACACATGTCAACCTTACGTCATTATCTGTGTCCCCAGATCCATCCTCTTACCAGCCATGAGAGCTCCAATCTCAAGACACAAGCAGAGTTTCAGCTCACCAAACGTAGAAATGGAAGATCTCCCACTGAAGACAATGTGTGGAGGTAGCGGGGGAGTTGGCTATGGTGGTTTGCGCCTATAACCCCGGCATGAACTATAGGGTATGGTACCAATTTAAAAAAAAAAAGTGTAGAGGAGATTCATCTGGCAGCAATGACTCAGGCTCTTTCTAGGAAGCTAGGAGGTTCTGCTTGAGCTCAAACAGCAGAGAAACAGCTTCCCCAGGCACCTCCCACCTAGCCTCTTGGTGAAGAGGGAGGAGGCGGGTCTGGAGGTGGAGCATACGTGAGGAACTGAGGCCCCACAGCGCAGCCTACGGGCCTATGGCGGAGCGGCGCCTAAGGGCTGTGGCCCTCCCTGGGCCGCCATTGTCGCGCCTGTCAAGCTTGTCTACGTGACTCGTTTGCTTCACCTCGCCGGCCGAACAAGACCACTGGGAAATTCCCTGATCCGGTCTGCGTCTCCCTACACCCAGGCAACGTCCTTGGCGCCGGGTCTCTGTCACCAGCCTCGAGAGGACGGACCCGAGCCCCGGGCCTAGCACGGGAGGAGAGAACAATTGCTACATTCCAGTCCTGGAGGCTTCTGATAGCCAGACTGTGAGCCCTGACGGGTTCCCAAGGCCCTGCTGGCTAGGCAGTGGTGCTTCTCCCAGCGTTCATGAGAAACTGAGCCTAATCTGGTGTCTAGAGGAACAAGTTGTAGCACCGATCGCGCCCAGCACAGACTTGCCTCTTCCCCACCACCCAAACCTACTCTCCTGCTTCATTCCTCCCAGATCCCACGGTCCCCAAACAGTGCACCTGCCGGAGGTCCCAACCCAGCGGGAGAAGTGGACATGAGGTTGGCAGGTGGGTGGCTTCCACAGCGAACGGAAGAGTCTAGGTGTCCTAGTGGCTGTGTCAGGACGGGCCCGGGTAGTCACTGGTTTGTTACTAATGGATGATTGTGCACAAACACTTATTTTATGTGCAAATTCTTTCACCTCTTAGGATTTCAGCTTCCCAAACTATAAGTCAAGGATTGATATTTAGTCAATTGACCCAACTCAAATAACAGGCCAGATGCTTTTTGGAAAATGACTTGTGAGGAAAAGGTTCCAGAGAATCTAGTGGCTGGGTCGGGAGGGGTGGAGAGTAGAAGCAAAGAGATGTGGACTTAGAAGAGAATTGACGTAGGTGCCTGTGAGGTTGGATATGATCCAAGTGGCCGCCCTGCTGTCAGCTGGACAACTAAGATGAAGATGCCTTGTGGGGATGAAAATGGTTCGTGGAAGGGCTGATTGGGATAAGAGTAGAATTTGAGAACTGGTAAGGTAGCACAACTTCATGGATAAATTCTGGTAAGGGTAGTAAAGAACTGACTGGGAGGATGTGGATTCAAGACAGATCAAGACTAGAGCCAGAAAATAACGTGTCATTGTCACATGATGTTTAACTTGATAACTGTGGTAGATGAAATCTCCCATAAACAGAATATGCAGTCAAGAGAAGGCAGTCTGAAAAAGAATAGCTTTTAAGGGGAGAGTAATCAAAGATGACCTAACCAAAAAAGAGGAAGTCCCAAAGAATGTGGTATCCTAGAAGCTAGCAGTGAAATATTTGCATCAGGATGGCTAGGGCAGTCCACCAAGATGTTGAGAAAGAGCAGACAGACAATCAGAAATGTGACATGAAAGTCATGGATGGTCTGGTTTGGAAGGTCATTTGTTTGCTGTTGTGGTGGCAAGACTAGTTTGGTAGAATTTTGGGAGAGAGTGAGGGGTGAGATGATAGAAATTACAATGTAGATGACTTTTTATGTGTATGCTGGGGGGGTGGAACCCAGGGTCACATGCACACTGGACAAAAGCTCTACCACAGAGCTATATCCCCAGCCAGAGTATAAAGTTTTAAAGAATTTGGTGGGGAAGTGGAAGGTGGGAAGTCAGAAAATGAGATTTTTCTTGAAGGAGCTCTGTTTCATCTTTATCTTATTAAGTTAGGACCTTTTAATAATCTGAAAGTGAGACAGAAAGAAGGAAGGAGCCTTAGCATAACATACCTAAGACAGGAGAGAACTTTATGGATCTTGAAGCAAGTAGGAGAACTGGTCTTTATTTTTTTTAAATATTTATTTATTTATTATGTATAGTGTTCTGCCTGCATGTATGCCTGCAGGCCTGAAGAGGGCAGTAGATCTCATTACAGATGGTTGTGAGCTACCATATGGTTGCTGGGATTTGAACTCAGAACCTCTAGGAAGAGCAGTCAAGTGCTTTAGCTGCTGAGCCATCTCTCCAGCCCTGAGAACTGGTCTTTAAAAGGAATATCGATCCTCCATCAGAACAAGAGGAAAGGAGAGGCAGATGGTTGCGTTGTAAATACAGACAGTTTCAGAGGCAAGATGCTGAACTTGGTGATATGGAACCTATTTAGAGCTTGAGTTCTAAAAGGTTACTCCAAACCTGCTGGGGAGAACCAAACAGAGCAACCTCAACATTTGAACTCACTTTCTTCCCTCCACAAGGAGGGAGTTCAAGTCTCCTTCTTAGGTCTGGTGGGTATCAATGGGTTCTCCACCTTCTAATTCTGCCATAACTTGTTCCCAAGTAGAAGGGGAGATCTGGTCGTGTAAGGCAGTGGGTCATTGCTGTGTTTGTTCACTGGTATCTGAGATGGACCTGCCCTGTGTCTACCCTGCCTACAGGCCCCCTGCGCATCGTGGCCCTGATCATCACTATGGGTCTCACCTGGATCCTAGTCACCATCCTCCTGGGTGGTCCTGGTGGTGGCCTTCCTCGAATTCAGCAATTCTTCACCAGTGAGTGTGGGGACCCTCTTACCTCACTACACAGGTTACAATATGAAGTGTGATGGTTGGGTTGTCCATTCCCTTCTTGAATAACTTCTTTTTGCTGCCCTCAGCCTATCTTCTAACACAAATGCAGCCTTGTTGTCCCTACCAACTGACCTAGAGAGCAACACCCCCTAATTGCAATCCAATATTGAGTAGAAATTGATAGAGTGAGAGTAAACATTGATCATCTTGGACTTTCTGCTGGGCTCTGACATATACAAGGGATTCTGCATCTTAGTACCAAGTCACCTAAGCACTACTTATAATTCAAATTCATCCTTTTCCTGGAGTAGGCAGTTTTATATCAGGGCATCATTGAGACTTGAGCGGGGAACTTGCCAAGTGTAGCCTGATTTGGCCCCAAGTCTGTGATCCTGGCTGCTCTGCTATGTAGGCTCCTGGAGACCTCCATGCTAACAGAAACAACCCTCTGTATCCACAGGCCCAGAGAATTCAGTGACAGCAGGTAAGCTTTTCTGTCCCTTCCCTGTCCCCTCCTGTGCCTGCATATCATACTGCCTTTTGTGACACCCCTGTCTGCTGCCAGCCTGACCACCAGGACTTCTTGTTGTCCATCTGACCCTCCAGCCACTAGCTGTCATAGCTTTCTGTTCTGTGAACCTAGTAAATAAGCTATCTACCATCAATCAAGGCTAGAGAAGCAAGCATAGAAAAAACGACTCCCATTCTAAATGGGAGACACTGGAGAAAGGAAGTAGGGCACTCATGCTTCTAAGCAAATCCTAAACATAGCAGGACAAGGCAATTTTTCTAGATTTTAAAGTTCTAAAAAGAAATGTCTATGTTCAGATACTCTGCTTCTAGGCCCACTGAAGTGACCCCATCCTCTGAAATGGGAGATAGTGTCGCCCTCTGGACTCTCTTTGGCCTCTTCATTCCTGGCCCTATATTCAGAATCTTCCTTCTTTCTTTCCTTCCTCCCCGCCTTCCTTGTTTCTTTCCTTCCATGTTTCCTTCCCTTCTTGCTTCCATCCTTATATTCTTCTTGTCTTTGTCATTTTCATAGACTGATAGTGTTTCTGTTTGTATAAACTTCTAACAGACTGGCCTTGAACTTAACTATGTAGCTCTCAAACTCTCGGTGATCCTCCTGTGTTACCCTATCAAATGCTGGAATTACGGGTTTGGACTGCTTTCTCGGTTTTTATACTATAATTAGGCTAACATTTTCTTTCTTCCCTTCTTTTTTTGTGACAGGACTTAATGAATCCGAGACTATCATTAAATTCACTATATAGCCAAGAGTAACCTTAAATTCTTGATCTTTCTGCCTCCATCTCCCAAGTGCTAGGATTTATTTTCAGTCTTCATGTTCTAGCTCCTTCATGATCGATAGTTCTTTCCCCAACTGCTCTGTCTGCTCTCATTTTACAATGAACAGCAGCAAGCCAAAAAAAAAAAATCCCCATTATAGAGATAATACCTTTACCACTGTTTGAGAGTCTCCTCTGCTAAATATACAGAACAATTGACACTTTATAACAAGGATGACCTTTCCTCCCATGCCCAGTTAATGGCTTCTTCAACTTCCTTCTAAGATCTCACCAAAAGAGGTGTAATATTCATGTTCCTATCAATACTTTGTTTAAGATTATGCAAGTGAAAGATTCAACAAAAGAATCTTTCTCTATTGCTTTTTTTCCTGAGCTTGCACCAAAACTGTGTTTACTATCCATTTTGCTAAATCTGTTTTAATATAAAGACTTACTATGTAGCCCAGAATAGCCTTGAAATCATGATTCTCCTACCTCAGTCTTCCCAGTGGTGGGATTAAAGATATGCAATAGCATATCTGGCTTCACTCTGTATTCCTATTAGCAGGTTGTTGTTTTTTAAAGCAGTATAGACTCTTTCTACTATATACCTCAAAACTCTTCATCCTTTGTCCACTCAACCCAGTGGCAAATCCACTTCCACATTCTTGGGTATTTGTGTTATTTGTTTATAACCCCCCAATTCCTGGCACCAAAAGGTGTATTAGCTTCCTGAAGCTGCCCTAAGAAAAGTAGCGCCTTAAACAAACTAAAATTTACTTTGTTACAATTCTGGAAGCCAAGAGTAGGGATGAAAGTATCAGTAGGGCTGTGCTCCCACTAAAAGCTCCTGGTAAGGGTCTTTCTGTGCCTCTGCAGATCCTAGAAGCCTTCTACGTGCCTCATCTTGTAGTTGCACCACTCTGACATTTGCCTGTACTGTCTCACAGCATTTCCTTCTGTGTGGTTTTATTTCTTCTCTTATAAGGACACCAGTCACACTGCATTAAGGGCTCAACATAATCCAGTATAACCTGAACATAGCTCACCTGTCTTAAAGACTGTTTCCAAGCAAGACAACATTCTGAGTACCTA